GGGTTAAAAACTTTGCTTCAGGATGAGAACAGAAATCGTGCTCCGGCAGCACGGCGGCAGCAGGAGGCCCCATTAGCTAAAGTGGTGCTTCAGGTTAAGAACAGTTTCAGGTTAAGAACGGACCTCCGGAACGAATTAAGTTCTTAACCCGAGGTACCACTGTAGTTTTGTCCATTTACTATAATTATTCTTCCCGTTTTGAACTATAAAATGGTGGTTTTGAGTCGAAATGACAGTACCCCTAAACATTTTATTTAGGAAAAAACACTGATTATTATTATTCTATCAATATATTATTGCTTTACGGTTGTAGGTGACCTGGTGAAGTGATTCTGTGGGGCAACTAATCCGTATAATCACAGGGTTGTATTTTTTTTTGAGGGACGGACTGGCATTGAAATTAACAAACCTAAATTAAGCAAGTCCAATAATGTCAACACGTCTGCACTGAGCAGGGTCTGCACTGGGAAAATGACCGATAATAATTATAAATGCGGCGTAAAATTTTATTTTCAAATGAGACTGCATCTGGCTTTGTTGTTGTTGTTAAGTCGTTTAGTGTGGCCCCCTTCTTCGTGACCCCCTGGACCAGAGCACGCCAGGCCCTCCTGTCTTCCACTGCCTCCCCCAGTTTGGTCAAACTCATGCTGGTAGCTTCGAGAACACTGTCCCACCATCTCGTCCTCCGTCATCCCCTTCTCCTTGCACCCTCCATCTTTCCCAACATCAGGGTCTTTTCCAGGGAGTCTTCTCTTCTCAGGAGGTGGCCAAAGTCTTGGAGCCTCAGCTTCAGGATCTGTCCTTCCAGTGAGCACTCAGGGCTGATTTCCTTCAGAATTGAGAGGTTTGATCTTCTTGTAGTCCATGGGACTCTCAAGAGTCTCCTCCAGCACCAATTGCTGACATAGATGCCTTTAAACATAGGGCCTTCTCAGTAGTGGCGCCACCCTGTGGAATGCCCTTCCATCAGGTGTCAAAGAAATAAACAACTATTTGATGTTTAGAAGACATCTGAAGGCAGCCCTGTTTAGGGAAGTTTTTAATGACTTATGTTTTAATGTATTTTTAATCTTTTGTTGGAAGCCGCCCAGAGTGGCTGGGGAAACCTAGCCAAATGGGTGGGGTATAAATAATAAAAATTATTATTATTATTATTATTCCTGGATTCCGTCATCCATGTAACCATTGATTAATATCGCTCAGGTTTTATATAGGGAACTGGAAACTTGCCCAGCTTTGAATCCATAAGCTTTCTGGTGCTCTTGTACTGTTGCACATCAGAATACTGTGTTGTTTGTGACTTTGCATCTATTGAACATGCTTTGGTTTTTGCTTGTTGTATTTCATGCTTTTTCAGAAGCGCCTTCTGGCGTGAATGGTACTAGCAGATGTAGGGTAGAATGAGGATGATGAGAAGCTGCTCTTCCTGTATCTCTTTCCCTCAACAATCTGTTTCATGTTTTCAGTTTGAATACCAACAGGCTCAGCTGGAAGCGGAAATAGAAAACCTCTCATGGAAGGTGGAGAGAGCAGATAGTTATGACAGAGGGGTGAGTAACAAGCCTTGTTCAACCTCCTGCCACCTCATCTTCTCATCCCAGGAGCTCATTACCTGCACAGAAGGGCTTAAACAAATCCTATGAGGAAGCAGAGGAATTGGCAGTGGACTGGAGGAGATGGCACTCCAGATCCCTTGACGTCGTTTTCATTGCCACCTGGAGGTGCTGTACAGTTAGTGGGAATGCCCACATACTTTTGGATTGATCTCGGCAACTGAGATAGGCACAACCTAGAGCAGGAGTCAGCAAACATTTTCAGCAGGAGGCCAGTCCACTGTCCCTCAGACCTTGTGGGGGGCCGGACTATATTTTTTGGGGGGGGATGAACGAATTCCTATGCCCCACAAATAACCCAGAGATGCATTTTAAATAAAAGCACACATTCTACTCATGTACAAACACCAGGCAGGCCCCACAAATAACCCAGAGGTGCATTTTAAATAAAAGCACACAATCTACTCATGTAAAAACACGCTGATTCCCGGACCGTCTGTGGGCCGGATTTAGAAGGCGATTGGGCCGGATCCGGCCCCCGGGCCTTAGTTTGCCTACCCATGACCTAGAGTGCTCCTTCCATGAATGGGAAGCCACTTTCTGTTCAGAGACTGAGATCCAGTGCAACTTCCGTTCTGAGGAAAAAGAAGGGAGACAGTTTTCACTAGTTTCCCCCCTACACAACCTCCCCAAGTGCACTGGGGGCTCCCCCAACTATCTAGACCAGCTTTTCAGTGAGCACACTCCTTCTGTAGGAGCATCTTCTTGGTGGAGTTCCAGTTGTTGGAATTCTAGATCCAAGCTGGTGTGTGTGAATTTTTTAATGGATATTAATTTTGGCTTCTATAAGGACCACCAGTTACATGTTATTTTCTTAACTACTTGATGTATCGTATTTTTTGCTCTATAATACTCACTTTTCCACTCCTAAAAAGTAAGGGGAAATGTGCGTGCGTCTTACGGAGCAAATGCAGGCTGCACTGCTATCACAGAAGCCAGAACAGCAAGAGGGATTGCTGCTTTCACTGTGCAGCGGATGATCCCTCTTGCTGTTCTGGCTTCTGAGATTCAGAGTATTTTTTTTTTCTTGTTTTCCTCCTCCAAAAACTAGGTGCGTCTTGTGGTCTGGTGCGTCTTATAGAGCGAAAAATACGGTAATTAATGGAGCGAGGCACTAGGACCAGGAAGTTTTGAGTTCCTATTCTAAACCACACACATTTTTCTCACAACCTTAGCCCTATTCAGGTGTTCGTCCTGGATATGTCCCCTTGTCTCCTGACTTTTGCTTATCAAACTACCACACTATTCCTGATCTAGACTTGAATACCTGAAGAGGGCTCGTTTCTGTGGGGAGACTGGGACCAAAAGGGATGGCTGGTGTTCCTTCCCTCCTTTCTGCTGATCATTCAAGTCTGTGGGTCCGTTTCCCTGCCACCACAAACTAGAAACAAACCTGATTTTACGCCCTCTTTCTCTCCCCACCCAGGACTTGGAAAATCAGATGCACATAGCCGAGCAGAGGAGAAGGACCCTGCTGAAAGACTTCCACGACACATAAAGTAGCAGGAGATGTCAGGGCGCAGGGGTGAGCGCAAAGAGCGAGGTGGCGGTGAGAGCAGCAGCAGAAGCAACACGAGAAGCTGGCCCCCGCCCCCACCACAGAGAAGGGCTGAGGACAACACTGCTGCCTCCCCTTGCAAGCCAGACACGAGCTAGCACCACAGCTTAGTCTTCTGTTTTCTCTTCTCTTTCTGCTTTTCCTTTTTGCCAGGCTAGAGGCTGGAGTTCAGATTTGGCACCTTTTTTTTCTGGGACGTTTTCCTCCCCGGCTCTTGGATTGTTCTGGGAAGGAGTTCTTTTATTTTATTTTTTCTTCTTCTTCTTCCTCCTCCCCCCGAATGGCTGTTAATAGTGTTAGATCATTACAAGCATATGTAATTTTCAAACGGTTGTACAATTATACAAAACAAACCCTAGAATAACACACAACCCTTTTTAAAAAATAAATTGGAATTGGAGTGTTTCCTTTTTAATAAGCTGCTTGTAAACTAAATGGCTGCTTTTCTTCTTTTCCCTCCAAATCCTCTTTTGCGCTGAAAGTTATGAAATAGTCCAGCTCTCTGTTTGGCACCTCTTATGTGCGCCCTGCTGCTTGCCCTGTGACTACATGAGGTGAACCATGCTAGCCTAGGAGACAACAGCAGTGGCCAGAGGTCAGCGTACGGTCGAGTAGCTCTCCTATTCTTCCCTGGCTATGCAGGGGCAGTCGGGCAAAGTTCAGGCCAGCATGGGAAACAGTCGTGGTCCTGCTGTCCCATCAGCTTTAGGTTGTCTCCTGCGTGGATTCGTTGCTTTGTTTCTCTGGACTGATCTCATCTGCCAAAACTAAAATCATTTGAGGGGCTATGGGAACACACAACCTTGCCTCTCGATAGCATTGTAGCAGGCACTGGCTTTGCTTGGAGGCAAAAGGACAAGCCACGTTCCATCCATGCCTTGCGTATCTGTGCAGTCCAGTCATACACAACCTGATCCTTGACATGGCTGTAAGGTGATACGTCAAGTCTGGCCCCGTCTTGCCCTGACAAGACCAGACTTCCTCACTGTGTATCGAGGGAAAGCTGTTACACTTAACATGATGCTTGGTAAGGGGGGGGTGGAGGGGGGGTGGTAAAAAAATATATTGGCAGCCTAAGACAAGTCCTGAGAAACATGTGCCAATGGTAAACTTACACCACTGTCCTAGAAACTACGGCTGGCTGAAAAACAGCCAGCAAAATTGGTGAGAATGAAGCTTAATGAATATTAAGGAGTTGTATCCACCACTAGTCCTGCTTGAAGTTGACCATTCAAATTGATGGGCCTGATTTAGTCCCATTAATTTCAGTAGAACTTGGGCAGATACAAACCTATGTTCAAGAGTTATTAGTAGGGGGACTCTGAACACTTGAATGTGTAAAAGGTCAATTTTTCCTCCATTCATGTGGGAGGCCAGCTTCGAAACAGTAAAAAAACTGCAGTGTAGGGTATGTACAGTGCATGGTCAACATGCCTGCTTAAGTTGATTATCCACCTAGAAAAGAAGACGAAACAGCTGGCCCTCTCCTGAAGTTACTCTGATTCGATCTGAAATAAGAACACCTTGCTACCTGTTTACAAAAAAAATAATGTTGCACTGAACTTTTGTTTGTACATTGATTGATGATCTTTTTGGTTTGGACAAGGGAGGACTGGCAAGCTAGGATCATTATTCTGTGCTTTATGCACCTACCTTTCTGGCCTTTCAGCAGGAGCTATTTAATTAGCATTTCTGGATGTTGACCTAGCTCTTGGGGAGGCAATCAGCCATGCCACCCTTTCGCCCTTCACGTGCTGCTAATACTACCTCAAGCACTCCAAGGAAAATGATTATACTCACTACCTGCTTGCTTCCTTAGTAAATGACCCCAGGACCTTTTTAATATTACTCTCTTCCTACCCCATTGCCAGTTAACCACAGATTACGCAAGCAGGACCTTGAAGGGGGGCGCTGTGTACTAGGCTAAAAAAAAAGAACCATGAAGACAAACTCTTCTCTCCCCGCCCCCGCCCCCCATTTCCTCCTCTGTTCACTTTTTCTCTTCCATTGGCCATTTTATAGGTCTCTTGTAGCTGATGCGGCACGATGACTTCATCAGGCTTGCTCCTTTTAACCCATGTCTTACCTGCTGTAAGCGGAGATCATGTGATTGTGTTCTCTTGGCTGTAGATGTTTTCCATTTCTCTGCATGAAGTCCAATCTGGGCCTTGATATAATAGAAACAGACGAAAACCTTTTAGCAAAGTGCAAGAAGTTCAGCGTGTGTGTGATTTTAATTGCACAGTATGTTAGCCTTCATTTTGTTATTGTTTTGATGAGGTGTGGTGCGTAAAGTGCTAGCACAGGATTATATCATTAACCCAGCTGCAGTTGGATAAAGATAAGCCTTGTGGCCAGAAGAGCTGTGGGAAGGTATGGCTTACGACTTATTCCTGTGAAATGCTGACCTGATCTTCCTGCTAGCTTAACACAGTGTTCAGCCTTTGAAGGACACGAGGATCTTTTTATCTTTAAACTTTGCATTCAGACTGAGCCGGTCGGTCTTCTTGAATCAGAGAAGTTAAGTCACACATGTTTTCTGTAGCTCAGAACTGTCCAGTGCGAAAGGGAAGTGATGTGTGGCTTGCACTTACATCTGACATCCAGTTGTAGCTGGTCAACTTGATGGTAGCACATTGACAACTTTCAATGTTAAAAAGTCATGTTTTCTAAACTTGTAGCCTCCACATGGCTGGCACCAACCCCGTACAGTGCTTTTAGATGTGCTATATTAAGCCAGTATTGCATCACGTATTAATAGCTGCCTCCCAGTTTAGAGCAGGTAGCATTCATGTATGTATAAACTAACACTTTTAAGTCCCAGACAGTCGACAGATCAGCATTTTTATTCTCCCCCCGATACAGGCTTCCCTGTATTAGAATTCCATCATGATCAGACTTTGCCAGAGAGGTTTTGCCACTGATAAGAATAGGCTGTGCTATAGGAAAGTATCCTCTTCACTCTGGAAAAAGAAGCCAATGGTTCTAAAGCAGAACTCAACACAGTTTGTTGCCTCAGAAAATCCTTGCCGTTCTGCAACAAGCTGGTAGCAATAGCAAGACAGCAATGAAGAATTAGCGGCATCTGAGCTCAGAGTATAGGTGCATTTCCCTCATACCAGGCGAACATCCTAAACTGGGAGCTCTTTGTCTCTTTCCGTAAGGCTTGACTCTCAGCCAGCCTGGCAGCTGTTGTCATCCTATCACTCTTACTTTTTAAAACTTGGCTTGATTCACCTTCAATGCTGACTTTGTTTTGGTTTTCCGCTTACATTTAGTATTACCTGCCACAGTTTTCTATATAAAAGAGATACAAAACTGTCTTTGCACAACTTCTGATACTGAACAAACCGAGCTCTCAAGTTGCACCACATCTCCTGGCAAACAGAAGTCTCTGTAATTCAAAAGCTTGCATACATACACCAAAAGAGGCTGTTTAGTAGAAGAGAGATCCTCTAATCCAGAGATGAGAAACATTTGGCCTTGCAGATGTTGCTGCTCACACCATCCCTGACCATTGGCTGTGCTGGCTGAGACTGATGGGAGTTGGGAGTCCAATAGCTTCTGGATGGCCAAAAGTTCTCTATCCCTGTTCTAATCAAGTTTATACTTGCTCTCTCTCTAGCACTCCTTCCTCTGCAGCAGCGACCAGTTTTCTGTTGACAACCTAAATTTATGTCAGCTGTGTGCCATGCGACTTCTTCAGGAAGAACTGGAGAGTTCTCTTATTATTGCACTGTCTCAATTCATTCAAAACTTGTTTTTGTTTCAAAAATCAGATTTCATTTCTCAATAGATTTTTCTAGGAAAGTTCTTATGTGTGCTCACTCAAGTCTGGACTGTTCCAAGTTTTCAGGTAGTAGCTTCTGCTATGGGAGCTTTTTATTATTATGCAGAGTGCTACATTATCATGGCTGCCTTTGCTCTGTCCCTCACTGAGGTATGGGTGGGGGGGAAGCAACCTCAAGAAACTGCCAACACTTTTCCGGCATTAGGAGGGGAAGGGGCAAAGGAAAGAGCCCTTGCAGTTTCCCTCTCCTGAAATTGTTTATTTGAAATAAATTGTGAATTTCTAATTTTAAATGTGCGTAGTGTCTTTTTTTCCTCCCTCCCTTGCTGATGCAGCATTTCCCATTATACAGTGAGAAAGGGGAAAGAGGAAGAGAAACGTTTAGAGTTTTAGTATAAACTGGGAGCTGCTTGAACAGTACCACCGATTTCCAGCAACCTATTAAAATAGGTTCGGCCTTTCACATGCAAACAAGTCAGTCCCTCAATCCAGTTTTTGTTCTCTCCAAAACATGGTTTTGTGTTCAACTTCCTCATTTATTTATTCAAAACATTTATAGCCTGCTCACTAACTTAAAAAGGTTCGTAGAGTGGCTTACATGTCAAAATAGCAAACCTGAAGGCATGGAATGTGCTCTATAAAAAAGACACTGGTACAAAAGGAAAAGGAATGGAGAGGGAAGTTCTTTACCAGCTGCCATGTTCTCTCATTAAAAAAAAAAAGCCTGTGATGTTGGATCTCCTTCAAGATGTACAAGTTTTTGAGGAAATAATCTGCATGGAAAAAATATGAGAGACATTACACTTAACTTCTGTAAAACAAGAAAATCTTTAATAAAAAATTAAAAAAAAATAATATGGGGTTGCCCTTCCTCTTTAAAACAAAACCTGAATGTGTACTGTTGAATCTACTTCATATCCTGAAGTTAAGAAGTAAATCTCACAGGTAGAGGATTATGCAAAAGCTCCCAGTAGCTCCCAGGCACTGGTTGCATAAGGTGTGGGGATGATATCAAATGTTGGTTTTGCATACTCAACATGGGCTTTACATGCTGTTCAACTGCCTTTCATTACTGAAATTGAGAGCAGCTGTTCTATATTCTATTTTATACATATAATTGAAAGGCAGGAGCTTTTAAACCTTTATGTGTCTCAAGAACCAGGTGGTGGCCTTAGCCTACCAGCTTCTTTAGCAAAACACCCTAGACCTACGATGATTCATTACGACTGAAAAAGGCACTCTGTACATGTCTAGGAGCACTTTACTCGAGTTCCAAAAAAGCGGGGGGAAGCTCAGGCTAAAATGTCATGTGTGTTTTTTAATAAAAAAAGTATTAGTAGAACTAGCTAATTCACTTCGCTTAAAATAAACCTTCAAACCAGCCACTGCTCTTGTCAACAACAAAAAACTACGTCAGGACAGCGCTGGACGTTCTGCCCTTATCAAAAATGGCTGCAGTTTCATATTCATCCGTAAGGGGGGGGGAAGCCGGTGCCCTTCCTCAAAATGGCTTCCCATCACACTGCTAGGGGAGGAGAGGCAAAGTTGCCAGGATCTAAAATGGCCGGCAGAGCGGCTGAAGCCAAAACACTTTTTTAAAAATCCCTTATGCAGGCCAGCACCCTCTCGGACTTCGTCCCGGCCAGCGCCGTCCGGTCGCCTTCCCTCCGCTCTCCCCCCCCCCACTCCTCCAGGCCAAACTAACGGGCCCGGCCGCGCGCTCTTTCTCCGTGCGTGATGACGTAAGGGGAGCCCGCCCGGAGAAGCCGTTGCTGTTCGCGGGGTGGTTGCCGTGGTAACGGTACCCAGCTCCCAGGCCGGAGCGGGCCGGGCCTAGCCATGGCTGCTGCGGCGGGGGCAGCTGTGGCGGCGGCGACGGCGACGCCGGACGAAGACCCCCGCCCGCTGCCGGGGCCTTCCTTTGGGCGGAGGGCCGTGTGCTCCCGACCCTACTTCGTGGTGCTGATGGTGTTCGCGCACCTCTACGTGCTCAACGTGCTGGGCTTGCTGCTCTTCGTGCACATCAGCTCCGACGGCGGGGAGACGGAGCCCGGCAAGGAGGGACCCCCGGGCCCCGCACAGGACCCGCCCGCGCCGCCCTTCTCCTCCCCGGGAGGAGGAGGCTCTCGCCCTCACAGCCTGCCTCGCCTCGAGGGCATCAAGGCAAGTAGCGTCCCGAAATCTCCTTTTTGCGCGAGGATGCAAACAAGCACTGCTGTTCTCGGGAGGTAATTCAAGAGGGCAGCTCTCCCTTTGGCGGCTGTTTTTAAAGTTGCAAGGGTCGGGGCGAGTTTCCCCCTTTCCTCGACCCTTCAGAAGAAAAGAAAAAACTTCCCTCCTCCCAAGGCTTCTGTGCAAAAAACAGCAGTTTCGGGGGCGCTTACCCCCAAATTATTTCTTGCCCTCCCAGCTTTCAGCTGCCATATATCCGTATTTGGAGGTGTGCAGCAACATCGTCGTCTCATGGTGATTATTACAATCTTTTTGCCTCCTTGGCTTTTTTCTAGTGTTGCCCCTTAGTTCCGGGTGTTGTTGTTGTGTGTCTGTAATGGTGCTGCAGGGGGATTTCCACCCCCTCGTCAGGAAATCGGCCGAGGGGTGTCAAGTCAACCCTGTTCCTCTAGGAAATGTTACCCTACAAAGGGAGGGGGGTCTGGAAATATACATTATTTTATATAATATCCCTGTCCACTGCTCCTGCAGCCCCGAGAGGGGCTGGCTCCTCCTTCCGTAGCTGCTAGTTCTGATAAGTGGCAAGCCCTCGTGGATCTTTAAAAGAAGCATAATGGGCTAAGTGCCGTCTAGCCCCTCCGTGGTGATGCTTTCCCTAGCACGCTGATGCAGTGATATGAAAACTTTTTGCACTCGCTGAGTTTCTGATTTTTATGCAGCTGTTAAACTGTGTCAGGGGAAGGAAAGTTTTCGCCTCTGCCCCCCGCCCCATTCCTGTTACTTACCCCCCCCTCCTGTCTCAAGGGACATCATTGCACAAGGCATTTAGGGATAATGGGCATAGCGAGGGGGGGGCAATTCCCCCCCCATATTTTATTTTATAATGGAGTGACTTTATTTTTAAAAACTTTTTGTTGCCTTTGTCTTTAAATAATTTGAGCAGTCGTGCATTATTGAGAGAAGTACTTAAACTGTGGGTTGAGTTTGTCTATTTGTGATGGCTAGGATTGATCTACATTGGTACATCTTGGTACATAATGTGATGTACTACAGACAGGCCTGATAGATGTGGTCTGTATTGATGTTGGGTTGGCCTAATAAAATTTAGCACAGTATACTAAATTCTAGAGTGGTATAGTAGGATCTAATATGAGCAACATCAATATGACTTTATTGTAAATTCACTAGGCTGCAACTTTGTCTGTTCCTTGGTCCAGATTGGGATTGCCTGCCTTTTAAAACAAAAAGCGCCACCAGCAGCAACAGCTAGAATTTATCGATGGGCACGTTCCCTATGCTGTTGCAATGGAGGTTAATTTTGCTGCCAATTCCAAGAAATAAAGCTCCTATATTCAATTTGCACAGCAAAAGAATTTCAGTAATTTAAAAAGTAAAAGTTAAAAAAATACTTTTAAAAATGGTAGTCAAAACTATGCAGGTGGGTCAGCAGTAACCATTCTCTTGCAACCCCTTGTGAAATTTTCAGTTAGATGCCAGGGAACAGAGTGGCAGTTAATGAATTTTGAGTGCTAGCAAGATGTGTTATTCTCTCATGCACACACTGTGATAGCGGATGAGTAAATTGTGCATTTATTGTGCAGAAAAGTGATAATGCAGAAGAACCCTAAACCTTCTGTGATGAGTGCTGCTTCCACACTGAGCCTAGAACTATATCCTGTATTTGCTAGTAGCTGATCTCATATAGTTTTGAACCATGTAGATGAGCTTTGTGATGTTTTGTATTTCAGAATTTGCCATGTCATGATTTAGCAGGCCATTGTGTATGTAAAGATACTGTCCAGAGGCCTCCAATGATACCATATACTGGAGCTAACTGTATTTGGTGTATAGCAGTTAAAATTAATTTATTTTACTTTCTTTTCAAGGTGGGCCATAAACAGAAGGTGGAACTGATTCCTAACAAAATCCATGTCATGAAAACTCTCAGCTTGAAACCACTCCTTTTTGGTAAGGAAAAGAGGCTACTGGAGATATATCCAGATGACCTATTGGTAGAAGAGGAAATGAGATATACCATATATTAAAGTTTGGCGGTTTCTTATTGCCTCATCTTTAGTTGCCTTTGGGCACAGAAATTCTGTCCCATTCATGACAGTAATTATTACTGTGGCTCCCGAGCACATGTGAACATCCTTTACAGCAGTAGTCTGTTAATTTTTCAGACCCAGGATCTATTTCTTAACCCTAACTGATACTGAATTTTTTTTACTATATACTATGGTCTTTCACCTACTCTCTCTAAAGTAACCAGGTGCAAAAGAAGACAAGATTCCTTTACCTTTAACTGCTGTGTAGAAGAGCAGATTTTGCCTCTTTCTCATGCAGGAATGCATAAAGTGTCAACAGCTGAAATTTCGTAGAAACTCCACAGTTCTCATTGCCCCTCCCTTCCTTGCTCCTTAAGAGAAAGTGGGTGGATGGGGGTGGGTACAAAGATAGAAAGTGGTGGTGTGACACATGCTTGACTCCTCTTACATTGGTGCCTGACTAATCCATTTCCACCAGTTGTAGATCAGTCTTTACTGGATTGAACTGGTTGCGTCAGGCAATAGTATTAATTGAGGTTTTACAAATTGCAGTTGAGCTTGATAGGCAACAATAATTTCTGTAGCCAGCAAGAAAATACACGCACACACACATTTTTCATCCTCCTCTTGGAAGCTCTGCTGTTGTCAGCCGTTGTCAGCATTTTCTGAGGAATTTGTAGTTTCTGAACCTCAGCATTGCCTGAGGTTCAGAAACAACCAGCAGCAATATGACAGACACTCCACAAACACACATTTAACTTGAAGCGGGAGCTCCTAGCAAGCACAGTTATATGCCACAGGTTTTGTTTTGGTTTTTAAAAAATCTGTGTAAAAGATTCCCGTGTTGTTAATTGTGTTTTTTCAAAGGAAAGTCTTAATGAGAAACTAAACAGCTTTCTTGTTAAATCCTTTTAATGCAACCAGCATTTTTAAGGAACACACACTGCTGTCATTAGTTTCTAAATACATAGTATTCATAGCTTGCAAATCGCAAGGGTGTCCCTCAGGCAGTGTGTGGGTTTTTGTTTTTTTTACATATTTTGTGTAAAATTGCAAAATAAAATGTCCTGGAGTGAGGGAAGGATGGGTGATGGCAAAAGCCTGATGGATAGAAGATGAAGGGGAATCAGGAGCGGCTTGACAGGTCAGGTGGAGCTGCCACAGTAGCTTAGCCTGCGGCAGCTGAGCCTAGTCATTGCCACTTACCAGTAGTGGGAGGAGGTGAGGTAGCAGCAAGGTCAGGGCTGTGCAGGCAGACTGCTAAAGCCAATCATATGCCCATCAATGTACCCATTCAGCCCCAGCCTAGCTGCCACTTCAGCTCTCCCAGGAAGCCATTGCAACACTGCTGCCGCAAGGTTATTGTTGAAGTTCTGGTTCCACCAGGTGAGCCATTCCTGCATCGTATGGATGAAAGAAGTGGCCAGGAAAGTGGGTTTGCAGGAGATGAAGTGAACAAACCAGCCTATTACTATAAGTACTTGTGGTTTGTATCCTGGTTGCTGTGCATCCCATGCAGTGAGATAAAGAATCCAGCACTGCAGAATATCTGCAATGGTGGACAAACTGTCTTTCAAAGAAGCTTGTGAACCATTACTGACTTTCTCGTTGAGAAGCCCCAATTAGGCTTGTAGAAAACTCCAGGGCTCCTCAGAGCCATTTGAAAACTACTTTCTTGGTGCAGTGGTGTATGATTTTTACTATGTAGACTATATCTATTACTTTTTAAACTCTGCTCCAGGTATGCTGAAGAAGACCTTTCAGATACAAACAAGAGAGCATCTTTCTATCATTTCATACCGGAGCTATAAGCAGTTCAGGCCCGACACTTGTAATGTTTCCATCGCCGCACAGCAGCCTGTAGATTTCGGTTCCTCTTGTGCCATGCATAGGCCTTGTTCACCACCACAACTTTGTCATTCTGCACCTCACCACAGATCAGATAGACGCCTGTGTTTGTGCCTCTCATAATGTTGTGTACACAGGTAGCATCTAAGTTCAGCCACTGCTGGAGTTTGGAGTGGGTTTCAGTCTTCAGAAGGGGACCATGCTTCAGAACTTCCAGCCTGGAGTCAAGGTCAAAGTCAGCAATGGTGGAGGTCTTGTTCTTCCTGGAAATTCTTATTTTCACAGCTGGAACAAATGCACATTAGATTAGAGACATCAAACTGCCAATAAAATAGGTAACTAGCTGCTTTCTCACTGTTTTAGTGATGCAAAGAATGGATGCTATCCACTGTCTTGCAACCTCCACTAGGGGTGGAAAACTTTTGACCCACCAGCAAGCATGGCTAATGACCAGGGATAATGGGAATTGCAGTTCAGCTGGAGAGCCAAAGGTTCCCCACTCCTGGTGATGTACACCTTTGTTCCGCACTTCTTGTAGCAAGCTTAGACAACAGTTCTAGTCCAGTGAAATTCTCATATCTCCAAAATTTATTACCCAGTTTCTGTTACAAAAACAAGTTCATTTTATGAAGATTAGTTCAGCTGATGATCACTGATAACAAAGACGTCCAAGCATCTTCTCTCTTTCTCTATCTTTCTGTCTCACACACACATATACTTTGATAATTTGCTTGATTTTTAAAGCACTATGTAAGATCGCCCCGTGTTTTCTGTGTATTAAAATAGTGCTAGACACTACCACAATGCACTTTTAACTTCAACCATTAACTTTTCATATTCATGTTTTAATAGGAAGCAGGTGGGTGTTCTGCTGGAATTTAAGGAGCCTGCTAATTTTGTGAAGGTTTCCTGGTTGTCCTTTGCTATAGTCTGCATAAAGGAGAAAGTTAACTCCCTCGCACCAGCTTGCCATTTCTCCATAGCTTTAAGGTAGGGGTAGCCAGTGTGTTGCCCTTAAGATGTTACCGGACTCCAGCTCCCATCATCCTTGACTACGTTGGCTTGCGCTGATGGAAGCTGTAGTCCAGCAGGCTACTCCTGCTTTAAGAGAAGAGTGTGTGCAAATGACAGGGGGTAGGTGGAGAACGGGTTTGAACAAGTACGAAGGAACTCATACTTCCAAATAGTTCCTGCAAATTTCAGAGCCATGCTAGACAACATGCTAGAGATCCAGAATCATACTCCCCACATCTTCAAATTTTAGAAAGTAGAAGTCAGGAATCGGGGGAGTGATCCATGCTCAGATTGTGATGCTGTGAGAGCTAACTCTCCCCACCCTATGTTCCCACTGAAAGTCCCCCTCCAGCTGCTATTTCTCCTATTAGATAAAATGTGTGTGTACACAGCCTGTTCCCATAGCTTCTCCCTAATGGAGAAAATTTTAGCTTGTGAGGAGTGCACATTTCCATTAGGAAAATAACATGGGGCCAGAGACTTAATTCTCACCCTCATCTGCTGCCACTGTAGTAATCCCCTCTCCCCTAGCAACTGGTATTAGCCAAAATTTATCGAGAGAGGAGAACCAGTCATGGATCTTTGTTCTCTCATCCAGTTTTGCCCTTTCTTCTATAGCTGAAAATGTGGTGATCCAATGGACTTGTATTCTGAGACTAGAGGACTGTTTTCTCAGACCGAGTGGTTAAGAGGCAGAGAGCAGTGGTTTACTCACCAAAATCATTGGTGCAAAGGTTTTCCAGGATCTCCTTGGGAGAGTTGGGTTCTTCAAGTTCACAGTCCCTGCAGCTGGCCTGGGGCACTGCTGGAACACATAGTAAGTTACAGAATTTGTTTGAGCCTAACGTAACCCAGAGAATTCTGGGTTCTCTACTCAGGGTTGCAGATTTTGTGGGGTTGGACTAGATGACCCTTGTGGTCCCTTCCATCTCTGCCATTCTATGATTCTAGAAGAGGCATAGGCAAACTCGGGTCTCCAGATGTTTTGGGACTACAACTCCCATCATCCCTAGCTAACAGAACCAGTGGTCAGGGGTGATGGGAATTGTTGTCTCAAAACATCTGGAAGGCCGAGTTTGCCTATGCCTCTTCTAGAAAATAGGTCAGTTGCTTGTTATCTTGGTGGCTTCATACACTGTGTTCAACTCTGACGTGAAATAATTAGTGTGACTTTGGGTAAGTCTTTATCTCTCAACTTCAAATAGGCACAATATTAAAAAAAAAAAGTAACTATTAACCTCCCTCAGGTATCTGCCTTTGTAATAGGGGAGGCTATGAAGAACTAACTTCAGAGGTTACTTTTACAGCTCTAACTGTAAAATCTATGTTCAAAACCTCAGTACGGTTTTGAATGGTTTTTTTCTGTTTCCTGATTAAAAGGTGTTGGTACTTCATAAGCTTTTTGGCTCTTACGGGTTCCTCTGAATTGAGAAAAAGCCAAACATAAGCTTTAACACATAGACTCCAAACACCCTCCCACCTTCCCAGCTTTGTGGATTTCTGTCCAGATTGTGCGGTTCTGACAGGGTATATGTGTTCCATGACAAGTGTAAACAGCAAAGAGCCTTACTTCTCCTGCTCGGAGCACTTTCATCAGTGATTGAGGAGATGCACAGCTCATGATCTTCAGGGAATTTGTTACAGTTCAGGATTTCAGGCCAAGGGTAGCCGTAGCAAGCCATGACTGGAGCACAGCTATTCCTGACAGCTTTGCACAAACTTTGGCACGGGTAGATGAGCCTAGAGAGAGAAAGATGAACACATTTCAAAACTTGGTGAGCAAAGTTGGACGAGAAGACCCTCTGGGTGCCATCCAGTTCTACAATTCTATGATTCAAAGTGCCTGTTAAGCTACCCCAGAGCAGCCACTAGCAGCTAAGGGCAAGGCCAGAGGTTCCCCACCCTGCCTTAGTCTCTGTTTACCATCACTGCTTCCGCAGTAGTGTAGGCAGGGCTGAGCTACTGACCTGGCTTCCCGACACTTGTGTTGCTGCCACTTACTAGGGACAGGGAGGCAACAGAGAGTGCAGTGTGAGTGCAGCAGTGGAGACAGTCTGA